CTTTCCCCGGCGCAAGGAAAACCTACACATCTTTCTTCGCTAGTGGAACGAAATTTACTCGTAGTAGCATTTTTTTTTATCAAGCAAACTAGCCGCCCGGCGCCAGGCCGACCCTTCCCCAGCGCCGGAAAGAAGGCCTTCCCGGCGCCGGCACACGACTTTCTTCGGCGCGGGCCGCTCCGATCTACTCCGAAACTTATTTTGGGCAGAAGACCCCAAAGCTAAAGCTGTTGGGGAATAAACGGATCCACTTCACGTTTCCATTAAACACAAGTAACAAACTGTTTTTCCCCAATGTCCTAGCTCCAAAATACTGCTTTTACCTCCGAACAGCTTTTGGCAGCCCTGAGTAAACACAACCGCCCACAACGAACCCGCGTAAACACACGAGGGCATTGCCTCCTATACTACTACTACTACTACTACTACTACTGCTACTACGACGTCTACTTCTACTACTCCTTCTACTCCACCTCATCTGTTGCTGCCGCCCCGACGACCCTACCCACTCAAAACATTCTCCCAAGCCTAGGTCCACGCCGTCCGGCCACTCAGCGACCGCGTCTGCCGCAGGGCGCTGGCAGCGCAGCTCAGGCACAGGTCATGGCCTAGCAGGTCTTGAAAATCTTGATAGCCACCAAGAGATTGCTTGTGCTAAGCTGAGACCATGACCGCAAGACAGGACCAAAGCGTCAACAAGAACGTTCCCACACCTGAGCTTGTAGAATCAATGAATGCCAATCTTCTGTTGTCTGTCCAAACAATGCTCGAAGTGTCAACGCGCAACAACAAAGCAACTGCCAGAACCAGTCAGAACCATTCATGCCAAGGTCGGCACTCTGCGCATCGCGAAGGCCTGGGACAGGGTAGGCTTGCAAACAACCTGCCTACGTCAGCTCACATGGACTTCAAGCTTTTGACGTTCCAGCATTCAAGCCCTGGAGGATTTCCTTAATAACAAAACCTTTCAGGTCTCAAGAAGCTTTCCCTGCTGGCAGCCAGGACACCAAGCCGGGTGGGCAGGGTCTCTATCAAAAGGAAAAGCCGGAAAAGCTGATTACTGTTGGCGCTGGTCTTGGCAACTCGGGGCCCAGCGGCTCGCCCCGCGGATAATTCACAGGTGGGGTGGCAGCAACTGCCATCTTGTCCTTATCTTCATGAGATCACATGGGAAGTTGCGGGCAGTGAATAACACCTTTGACAGCGTTCACATACTGCAAAACTGAGGAACCAGAACAGAATTGCGAGACTTGCACCAATCTAAGGCTCCAGCATTCTAGCTACTGCATGGAAGGCAGTGCAGGGTCTACTTTAGACTTTGTAAGGTGCTGATGAGCACTGCCACTGCAGCTGCTGAAATGAAGCGGAGAGTTTCTGAAATGTTCAAGACATGTCATGTCCGAAGCATACAGCTACAATAATTGAGATTTGAGGACTCAAGCCTGCACCCGCCAAAAAGACTATGCCTAACCATGTCAGTGGCCACTGGCTGTTGTGGCATATCTTCTTGAACGCGGAGACCGCAAATGCTTGCACCAGCAAAGCTGTTAAGCGCTCATGGCAGATTTGGAGACTGTCTTTGACCTTCAGCTTGACTGCTACATGTCCTGCCTTGCTCCCAAACAGTGTCTGCGTCGCTCTGTCAGGATGCAAGGTGCAGACAGGCACATTGCTCACCCTTTTGCGACCGTGGGCTCCACTTTGCCCGCGTTCACAGAGCTGCTTGGACCTCAGTGTACATCTAAGTACAGCGGTCATGTAGGTCCTTGCTAGCAGCTGCTGGGGCAATTACTCATAAATGCAAAACTTGCTGGCTCCTCATACATCTTCAAGGATGGTAGCTTTCAATAACACTGATCTTGACTTGCACACTTTGCAGCGGGCTTCTGCCTGCTGCGTCTTCAGAGAGGGTATGCTTTCTCAAGTGGGCTGTCGCTTGATCGTGCTTCAGCCACAGCAAGAAAACACTCTGAGATTCTGAGACCTCATGCTATCTGGGATGCCCGGCGCGTGCGAGCCCGTTTCGCTGGCGGGACCTCCACAACTTCGACACTCTCACAGGATCTCTCGAGAATCTCTCGCCTGCCAGAGCACAAAGGCAAGGCCTCGACCGGGCCCACGGCTCCGGAGAGTTTCCGCTTCTCGGCTCCCTGACTTGGCTACTCGTCTCCGTGACCATTTCAGAGCTTTTGGAAAGCTTTTACACAGCTTGCTCAGCAAACTCGCCACAACTGGCAGCACAATTTTGCTCGCCTCCCACTCAAAGAACGCCATCACGACCGTCAGGTTGTCTTGACTTCCGCGAGAATACGCCTGAAATCTTCACTCTCTTGCATAAGATGTCACAGACGTTGCGGGAACACAGCTGCCCTCCCAATCATGCTCCGTAGCTACTCCGGTCGCGGCCTTCTGCACCAACTCGCCACAGGCTTTCCGGGCATTGGCTGATGCGTCCGCCGCATCTCGCAGGAAATCAAGCTCGAAGATGATCTGGCGGGACATGCTTCTAACACACGAAAGAGCTTTTCCGCTCTGGTAACAACTCTAATCCCGTGTGTCTGCAGCGTGCCGTGCTGGCGCCTCTTCATTGCTCAGAACATCTGTGATTCCATCCTTGCTGAGCCAACCCGATCAGTCTCACCCAATTTTGCAAACAAAGTCTTCGGCTGTACTTTCCGCAGCAAACAAGCGCAAACAGGTCTGTTGTGCGAGGATGCATCTGATTGTCATGTAAGCTGGCACGTGCAAGCGCAAACTTTTCAGGGCAAAGAGTGGGCTGAGGGCCCCACGCACATGAGAGCAATGAAACGCACAGAGGCATCCAGCTGGAAGCTACGAACCTGAGTGGTAGTAGTGACGGGTGCACGTGAACTGGCATCACTCGGTGCAAACGTTTTCTTCTATCACGAGCTTTGGCTTCCCGGCAGCAGCTGGGGATCTAAGGGAACCCTGACATCCCACTTCGTCGTCGTGCCTTGTCCGTCGACCTACTGGGCTTGAAACTGCAATGAGCTGAGCAAGTAAATTGGCAGAGAAGCAAGGAATGAGGTTGATTCCCAGGAATGGCAGCGCCCAACATGAGCTGGTGCCGACCCCCACTGATAGTGTCACTGGCAAGGCATGGTGAAGAACATCCATGGTCTGAACCAGCTGAGCTCAGAACGCTGGGCGTGGCGATGAGAAGAGGTTTGTCCACCTGCAGAGTCATTAACTCTGAAGGCCAAGACCCCGGCACCAAGTCCAAGATCCCAGCGAACCCAACCGCGAGAGCGGAAAGCACGGCGCCAAGCCTTGAAATCACGATCCCCCAAAGCCCGCGTGACGGCCAAAGCCACAGGAGGCCGCCCCACGGCACCGAGGCCAGCCGCCTGAACTTCGAAGAAACTCCCCACACTCACGCTCTGCGTCTCTCCCCACTCCCATCCCACACACCGCTGGAGATACCTTGGCACGACGAAGCTCTCGAATCTGATTGTCAAAGCCTGCGTGAGCCACCTCCCAAAGCTTTGGCACGCTTAGCAGCTTGAGTGCTTGAATCTGCAGAGCCCAGGCCCGCTTCGCGCCATCAAAATTCCTGGGATCAGAGTGTCATACTTCACTGCAACTTCACCAATTGGGCAACCTGACTGGACAGAATCACGTCAAGCGCAGCTAGGGATCACAATCATCCCACCCGCTTCCTTCACCCGGTCTACCTCTGCTGCGGCCTGGGTTTGCATCTGACAAGGTATGGCACAAAGCTGCAGGGATTCGCAACCTCAGCCCCGAGCACTGGGACGGTGGTCCTGTGTGAGAGCGACCGTTGCGACAGCTCCAGCTGAAGTTGTTCTGCATAGAAGTGCCCGCGAATCACCAAGCCACGCTACCCACAGCGTTGAGCCCGTCAGTAGTGCCATAACGACCGTACAGCCATCAACGGAAGTTCCTTGGAATATGATTGACTTGATAAAGGAACGTTCTCTGCAGCCCGTTGTTAACAGATTTTAGCCGAAACTGCAGACCAGGGGCGATGCTTGGCGAGGAACTCTTCGTCCAACTCTTGGCAGGCTGCCTTCAGTGCTAAGCCGATTTCCTCGCCACTCTTCGTGGATGGCTGGGAGAGGTGCTTCAGGAGTCTGAGATGCATAGACTTTGCCACAAACTCGGCGCAAAGGGGACCGCGGTGCCCGTCATAAACTGCCAGGAAGGCACAGGGCTGCTCCTTTGGAAAGCAATCTGCTCTCAAACATGTCCACTACAGCAGGGTTTTACCACAATGCTACCCAAAAAAAGGAGTTTGTGAATCTGATGTGGACATGTTGAGCTAGGCGCCAAGTGGTCGATGGGCATCTTCAGTGCTTGGGCCGCCTTCGTGAGGTCCGGGATCTTCACATGTCGATCCTCCTGCTGCGGCCGCCGGCCCTGGTTTAGAGCCGTTGCCCGCAAAGGGGCAACCCCTAATCAATGTGACACGAAGCGTGACGACTTCTCTGATAGATGCGCTCTGACGAGATGCAACCAGCCTGCATGAAGGTCGACTCCGCCAGAACGTTCACCAGCTTTGGGGCGCACGCAGCTGGCTCTTTGGCGGCTGTCGCAGTGGCGGCTGGCACTTTGGCGGCTTGGGCGGCATGGGCAGCACGCAGCGCATCAATCATGGCAGAGATCCCGCTTGCAACACGGTAGGTCAAGAAATTGCAGAAACGTTGTGATCTACAGACACTGGAAGTAACTGATCCGACATACGGACGAAAGGACTTGGTACATATTCCAAAGCCGCTAGGCAAACAGGCAAGCCTAGTTTTGGGAAGGAGTCAACAGTTCTGCCTAACAGCGAGAAAGCCAGAGCGGCGCAGTAAAGTGAAGCAAAACGACATATCTTGATAAGAATTCACGTCGGCTCGGCAGCTGCTGCTGTGAAAGAATCCTTTTTCTCCAAAAAAGGGCCCACAACATTGAGAGATGCAGCAAGAGGAAAGACCCAGACCCCCAGCTCCAACATGTGCTAAACCCCGCTCAACCGTGGACTCTCGCTGAATCATGGCCCTGCCGGCCAAGTTAGCATAAGACAAGGAAAACTGCCAGCACTCACTCAGGTGGAAGGGTCTTTGACCGCTTGCACATGAGCTGGCAAAGCAGGGCTTGTTCAACAACTGGGAACTTGTCAGTGCGCGCTTTTTTTGAACACTTTCTTTGGAAAGCCCCATGTTTTGAACAACCCGGTCTGAGGAAAGCGCTTAAGAAAAATAACCCCTCACAGGAGCCGCTAGCAGCTCTAAGTCTAGCAGCAGGACAGAAGGCGTTTGCTTCAAAATGGCCTGTCCTGTGTCAAGAATTGGGGGCTGGGAGCTTTGTCGGTCGCCAGCTCCGAAAGAAGCGTAGTATGATTCAACCGATTTCGCTTTGTGAGCAAGTAGCTCATGTTGTGCTCGTTGGGCGTGCAGTTGATAGGGCAGATCTCACCTCGGATATCAGATTCGGTGCTGAGCGCGAGCACTGCGCAGCTCAGTCCCTCTTCCGCACAAATCTACAAGATGCTTGTCTGGTCAGTCTTGTGCTTGTTGAGCAGCATGCGAGAGGCCGGAGTGCGCGAACTTTCTCAGGATTGTTAGTATACAACCGGATGGACCTGAGTCACGGACAGAGTTCAAAAAAAGGTGGATGAGCATCAGCCCTGCTGACATTTTGTGGCTGGTCACCTCACGCCGAGGCCCTCGAGCACCTTCCGCGAGCCCTCAAAAGTCCTCAGCAACGAAATACGGCACCAGGAAACCCTATAGTTGACGTAGAGCAATAAGAAGCCCGAAGCGATCCTACATGGGACTTTCACTATCCCTGTCAGCGCTCCATGCATGAGCCCTAGTAATTCTCGTGCAGTGCCTGCATACTCTGTACATTTTCTGCGCGCCCCAGGTTGATTAGCCCAGTCTACTCCAAGCTCCCATACAATCACCTGTCATTCCTGTTATCGAAGATACAAATTGCAAAACCAGGCCATCCAGAGGCCGAGGTTCCGCAGGTCTGCAGCTAGCCCGAGCGAGAGATTGGCGTCCACCTGAGCCACATCCAACATTCGGAGTAAGATGCGGATCACGACGAGAGTCAGCGCAACAACAAAGCTCGAAGCGCCAGCAGCAGCAGCAGCAGCAGCAGCAGGTGGTGCAGGTCTGGTCGCGAGGGTGGAGATAGTACCCACAAATCTAATCATAACAACGGCAATAACTAGTAGTAATAGCGTGTCAGAATAACTTTGCCAACCAACCCCGGCAGCAGGCGCGCCTGCGTTTTGCAGGACTCCTAGCGCCGTGGCCAACTGCGCTGGTCTGTCGCTGTTCTCCCTCCCAACCCCCTTGCCAACTCTGCCTGCCGACCCCAACTTCCCCTCCCTCCCCCCAGTGCCCCCCTAAATTGTCTTTTCGTTTACCCCTGGCCAACCCCTGCTTAGGATTTCAGACATAGGAAACAGAAATTTGGGGTGGCTTGGAGACAGGTAGGGTGCCGTCCCTAAAATACCACTAATGAAAGAAGAATCAACAATATCAATGGTAAGCGTAATGGTAAGAATAGTGTCAGTAATATTATCAGTGGCATCAATCGCAACAGTAGCAACACTGATCATGACAAAATAAAGGTGCTTGTTGGACCAGCAAGCCTTGTTGAGGTCATGTCTCTGAGCCTAGTCCTTAGCAATGCTTTAAGTTTCGAGCTGCTCCGAGGAGTAGAGCTTCAGTGAAACCATACTCCCTGCTGAAACTGCTGAAGGTCCTCTGGAGTCCTTGCTATTTAATCTATCTCTGAAGATCCAACTTTGGGCATATAAGGGTCCGTGGTTCTCCGGCAACAGCCAATAATGTGAGGCGCAGCACATCCTGTAGACATGCTGGCGAAACTATCGACCTCTTCGCTCAGCCAGCGCTGCAAAATGCTGCAAAGCTGCGGTGTCCAATCCCTTTTCCTGGTCATGCATGAGACCCACTCAGAGGATAGAGGAATTTTTACACCAGCTAGAATGCCTGAAGTGCTGTCATTTCTAGTACTGCACCTAGTACTTTGCGAACTCAGGGTGGGGCAGGATTCCTCAATCAACAATATGATCTCCACTCCAAAAGCATGGTCACGTGAAGCATGCAAAACGAAAGTCCAGCGGAGCCCTCCAAAGCACTCGCGTCTCACACCTACATCGCACATCAGCAATAACTTCAAGAGACATATGAGTCTTACAAGAATGGCAGTACTGTAACAGAGAGCACCGCAAGCTGTCAGGACCTCTACTGAGCTGGTGCTGCCCCTTCCATACTTCGGACACATTAGCTTAGATGGCTGGACCACGCCTGGAGCTCGTACGCTCGAATCTTGTCAACGAGGCCGATACCTCGGCCTTCATCACCTTTCGATGCCGAATACAACGTCTGCCGCACGCAGGTTAAGCTTTGAGACTCTGGGTTGACAATTGAAGCCTGATTAGCTTTGCACAGCTCTGGCCCTCAGAGTGTTGCTTTGGATGCTCTACAAGCGAAGCACCCATTATGAACCTGCCTGCTGTGACAATCCAGGAGTGTAGCTTACCGTCAGGTCTAGTTGTGAAGCATACCACGACAACGGGATTGGCCTCAACCTGCAAGAGAAACTGTTGCATTCTAAACACTACTACAATACACAGGCTGGAGCCATGTCAACAGCGCCTCGTATGTAGAGGAGCACGCCGTTCGTCTCCATTTGAAGGACGTGCAGGAAGCCTCCGACTACGAGTTGGACTAGGCCAAAACACTTCTGTCACGCTAGCTTCGCTGCAGGTCTTTCAGGAAGGTTTCCTCAAAACTGTCAGACCACAAAGCCACGATGCTGGGGCTAAAAACCACGCTTAAACAGAGCGCAACAAAAAGTCGGACACTGGATATACATGTCAACAGAATGTAGCTTCTGCCAAGGCACTGTGGAGTTGAGGTCCTTAGAAGCGTGCTGCTGCCACAGGCTTTCTTGATTGGTGAGTTCTTCGCTGTTTGACCTGCCAGCTTGAACCTCCTACCAGGTCCTACCATACTGAACTTTCTGTTCCAAAGATATCTTACGCTCCTTCAGCCGGTGATCCACTTCTTCATCACAAGTTGTAAACCCAATGCCCTGGCATTCAATGCCAGCTTGCAAGAGGCTGAATTGAGGGCTCCACTCAGCGCTTAGGATTTCAGCCTGCAACTAAGCGACCGCAGTCACAGCGCTTGGAGCCCAGCACGTCGCCCGTGAAGCACTCAGAGTGCACACGGACCTTCTTGAAAGATTTATCTAGGCAAGATAAAGCGGCAAAGGGGCAAAACAAAATGATGCCGAGATGCTGGAATCTGCTCTGCTCCGGCCACTTGGCCTTTGATCAAAGCAACGATCTCCTGCCCCGGCTTGCTGGTGCTGTAGACCTCAGACATGCGTCTTGCAGTTGAATCCTTCTTTGACAACTCGCTGTTGCATTGTCTGCTTTACACACCGCCTTCATTTCACACTCTGCGTCGATTGCCTGTGGCAGGTACAGCAGCGTTACTTTCGCAAACCCACAATGCTGAATGCTTCTCCCATGCGCGCCCCCACGTTCAGAAACAAACTGAGGCCTCGATCCACATGCGACAGCTACTCTGCAAGCTCACATGCTCGATGGGCTGCTGATCTTCGGAATTGGCAGGCGGAGTCCTCGGGAAAGCATGTAGCCAAATTTAAGCCGCTCCGAAACTATGTAATTTCGACAACCACATTGTGGCCACGTCAAAGAACACTGAGTCTCACAATATTACGAGTAGCAGCTGAGCGGCGAAGGCTTCTTGCCATTCGTTCCGCTCCTTTCGCCCGCCGGGGTCCCATACACCACAATGTCTTCTCCAACCGTGCAGCTCTGCATTCCCTGAAGGCTCATCAGCGAGGTTGCAGACTGGCTCTTAGCCAGCTCCGTCGCAGGGCCGAGCCCACCAATGAATTTCGGGCTGACCGTAGCGACGAAATTGCTGACAAGCTGTGGATTGGCCAGAAAGCTGGCAATTACTGCACGGCCCCCTTCAACCATAAGAGAAGTGCAGCCGAATCTCGCTCGAAGAGTGCTCAGCACATGATGCAGCGAAGGGCGGCCCTCGATTTCGGGCATGGCCAGTATCTGCACCCCAGGGACGGATGCCAGCTCTTTGGCTCGCTGGCGCTTCTCCTCGCAGCCACCTTCTGTAGTGACAATCACAAGGCCTGTGCCACCGCCTCGCTCAGCAGCTCCAAGTACTAGACGTGACGTAGGAGGCGACCGTAGCCGCGAATCCAGCACGACCGGAAGAGGGCTCCGCCCAGGAACCAGTCGTGCCGTCAGCATCGGATCATCAGAAAGGAGGGTGCCTATTCCGATCAGAATGGCATCATGCATGGTCCTAAACTGATGGGTCATGACCATGCTCTGCTGCCCACTGATCGGCACCCGCTGGTTGCCGGCTGCAGCGATAGACCCATCTAGACTTTGAGCGTAAGTCAGTGTCACTGCCGGCAAGGCTTCCTGAGGGTGCAGATTACGCGCGACGAATTCCACCACTGCAGCCCTCCCATCTGCGCCAGAACCTCGACATTATCTCCTACTAAACCATGACAGCAACTCCACATTTGCAAGGTTGCAAGCCAGGATGCCATTAGCATGGCCGGATTGGCTGGAGCTCCGCCGAAGCTCGGCATGCCTAATGGTCCGGTGGACATAGACCTTCCGGCCACATGCACATCAATTCTATTCGTCTTTCATGATTGCTTCTGACCTGGGCCAAAAATAGCTTGACCGAGCACAGGCAAAAATCGAGACTTTTGTGCCCGGGGCCTGAGATGAGTGGCGCAGAGGCGCTGCACAGCGCGGATACGCCTTCATCACCAAAAAAGATGTGAGAGGCGATTAAGCAGCGTCTAGTATCTCAGTTCCCTTTCCGTAGCTGAGGCACCCTGAGACCCTGCAACGCAGCCAAGCGCCACATGGCTCGGGGAGGCAAGAGAACCGATCTTGATACCTAATCCTGCAACCCTGCGGCCAGCAAGGCAAACTAAACTCCCGTGACAAGTCAAGAATCGTGTTGAACAGTACCAGTAGTTTGATGAACTACTTCCCAACAAGACAGAATAACTGGACCCAAAGCATTTAAATCTAGACAATGCTGTCTATCGTGGCCAAAACTGCTACAAAGCTATGCGAGGTGATTAAAAGAAAGGTCCAAGCTCCAGCTGCTGGTGAGCACCAAACCGCCAAGACCATTTGCCAACATGAGCGGAAAGCAGCTTCACGCTTTGATCTTGGGCATCTCCAACGGTCAGGCGCAAAGCATGGCGGGGTCTGAGCTAATGGGAAAATCAGACCCGGCAATGAGAAGCAAGCCTGGAGCTACGCATGCCCAATCATAACCTTGCTGCAACATCGACTGAGCTGTTCAGTGGGTTCCACTTCGCCGTGGAAGCAAACGACTTGACCTCGAGCCAGTCAGAAACACTGTAGAGCAAGGCTTCACCGCGAACTCAGAAAGATCCAAGTCTCCCTAAACCTATGAGAAGACCGAGGCCTTGAACGCCTCTGCGCTGGTTTGGACTATAGGATATTGGCAGGTTATTTGGAGGGTCCCTGGAATGTTATCTGCCTGCCTCACAATATGATGGAAAGGACCGGTGAAGTACGCACGCGCGAAGACTTGACTTTTGGCGAGCAGCTGCTTCGACGTGCGTGTTCCATCGCCTGCACGCAACTGGCTGCACAGTGCTTGAGCACGCCCCTCAGACCACAAAGTCAACAAGGGCAGAAACACAGCCCAAACCACACAACTGGCTGCACAGTGCTTGAGCACGCCCCTCAGACCACAAAGTCAACAAGGGCAGAAACACAGTCCAAACCTGCTGGCACCGAGCCTTCGACAGATTGCCAACTTGGCAGGGAAGAATTCTTACAGATGCAAAAGTAGATCGGAAATTGCATTCCTTTGGCATTTGCATCTCCTGAATCTCAGCCCGACTACCTACCTGCACCTCAAAATCGTTGTTTGCCGGTAGCGCCTGAAGTTCTCTGGCTCAGGGATGACCGCCCCATCGGGAAGTGGTTTATCCTCCTTGTCCAGGAGCTTCCTGGCACTAAAACACCACGATTTATACTGGAGCTTAGGCATCGCTCCAGGACTCAGTTGCGTCCCCTTCATCCCTTTATATGTGGCCATGCAGCAATCAGGAATAAACCAAATTTTGGAGAGAGACACTCAACAAGGATGGATCTGAGGAGGTGAAGCAAATTCCTGCGGCCACAACAGAGCCTAGGCTCCGGGAAACTCAACCCTCAATCCACCAGCAAGTCCAAGTCTCTTGACTTGCACGTACATTCGTGGAGCTTTGCGCATCTCATCGCGGACAAAGCTCCGCAGCATCGCCTTCAAGTCGTGTTGGACTTTGTGTTGGCAAATATTGGCCAGAGGCAATCTCACTGTTATTGAAAGCAGGCGGCTCTCTTTGAGCCTTCCGATTACCGAGAGAAACCGCGCACAAAAATGCAGGAACTTTGAGATGCAGTCCAGTCTCTAATGTTGACGACTCTATGAAGCGAATGCACTTTTCCCTCCGGTCGAACTCAAACGTGCGATCGAGGAAGATGCGGCCATAGCGCTGGGCCTCAGGTCCGGTCACAAGCCTTGGATGAAGCCTGCACACTACCTGTGGCTTCACATACTGAACGCCGCACCTCCTGCGTCAGGTCCTCAGGCTTCTGCCGAAGCTCTGCAAGCAGTCCCGCTTTGCAGGTCTCGAACTCCTGTGGTCTCGATACTCGCTTCAGCTTCGGTTGCTTTAGGCTTGGGCCTAGGCTGGGGGAGAGATCTCCAAGCATACGCTCCGGCGCTCCTCCTCCGCCATCCTTTCTTCCACAAAGTCAAAGTGCTCGTCAAGGAACTTCTCTATACACCCTCTGACGTAGCTGGGGTTAAACTCCGTCTGGACGAATGCTAGGAGGTTTGGTGCCACCAATGGCGCAGATGACATCAATGCTACCTCGGCTACTGCTGTTGGTTGGGTGGGCTTCCTTTAACAGCTAATCTTTCCAGAAGTTCCAAGGCACTATGTAGCCCAACTGCTGCTGCGTGCGCAGCAGATCAAAAAACTTTGTCGAGATTGCCTTGTCCAGGAGTTTGGTCCTTTGTTGTTGTGCAGTGCTGGCAAAGACCTGCAAACCAAAGAATTCCATGAATATGTGACTTGCAAAATAATTATCAGACACGGAGCAGCATCTCACTGTCTAGGCCGCTTTTGAGCTGAATCTTCATGAACACTGCATGGTTCGGATCTTCATCGTCGGTACCTCTGAGAATGCGTTAAGTCTTTCTGTTGGGCCGAGCCAAGTGGCAATTAACCATGAGACCAGGTACTGACATCATGACGCTCAACATTGCCATGCATGACACGCTGATACTTCCGCAATGACTGCTGCTGTTACTCCGGCACTGGCCATGCAACAATTATACTCATCACTGCCAATTTCTTTATCGCTAGGAACAACGCTTGCATTATCGCCATGCCCATTTTGTCACGAAAACTGCTGCCATTGCCGTCATCCCGATGAGGCGCTGTCCAGCTCCCAGAGCGTGGCTCCCTCGGGGAGTATGGCCTCCGCTCGCGTCGGCAGCACTGGCAGCGCCTTTCCAACGCTGTCTTGAGACTGGGCCAGGCATGCGTTCCTACTTGCCGAGGGGAAGAACATTTGGGACAGTTCTGTTCGCGGAAGGGGCTCATATCTTCGAAGCTCTCCTTTGACCAAAGCTGATTCTCATCGTGAGACTGTACACACAAACTGTGAGCCCCAATCCCTCGACTGCCAATCACAGCCCATCACAAAAGAATCGGCGAAACACGGCCTTGCGCAGGCCCAGTCCCTGGCAGAGGGGAAGGGCGGTAACATGCTCTCCCAAGTGGAGCCAGCAAAATCTGTCTAAGTCTCTGCAAAGCGAAAGAGTGATCTTGAAATATCTGGAAAAACGCTGCAGGATGTGGCTCTTCAGACGTGCAAGCATTTTCGGGGAACCGTGCGGGTTGCACTGCATTCAACAGCAGTCCCAGGCCGTCGTCAGCTTCGAGCAGAGGAGGCGCGCATCGTCCGCTGTGAGGTTTCCCAGCATGAGGGACTCGGTGCAGTGGGGAATGAGTAGGAGTTGATTGGCATGGGCTGCCAGTGAGCATCAGCAATGCTCTCCTATGCAGGGCCTCCACATGAGCACCAGACGCGAAGAATTGCTCCACAAGTCCTCAGTTGCAGCTGATTCTGCTGATACTTCAGGTCATGCTGTCAACTTGGGTTGAAACTGTGCTTTTGGACAGAACAGCGCACCTGGAGAATGCTTCTGTCTGGCTTGTATGCTTCGGGAAGCAACCCTAGGCGAGTCTAACGCCTGCATGCATGTAGGAGATATGCCCAGAATGCTTAGCTTACCAGACAACGGCAAGCCAAGACACCCTTCAAGTCAGAGCATTTAATCTGCTCGAAGGCCTCGAGCCGCTTGTAAGCCTCAGACAAGGTCCCTGCTTCATCGACCACTGATACAGCCACAGCCCTCGTGCCTGGATCCTGTTAACTTCGTGCACAGTCTGCTAGAAGCCAGTATCGGTCCAAGTTTGGTCGCACATCCAGACACAAAACTGCTGAGATTTTGCTGGCCGTATAGTCAAGCTTGAAGCAAACCTGCTGATGTAGAAACACCTGGTACGGGCACATGCTCTAGGCGAGGAGCAGGGAAGGACATCCCGGTTGTCAGCAGCTCATCCATTCGCATGTTGCTCTGCAGGTAGGGTGGAGAGTGGAAGGCCTGAAGGCAGCAACTTATTGTAAAAACTCCTCAAATACTGAAATACTGCGCCCTCACCTGGTTCCGTAGATCATCCCCCATGCCGTCTGACACAATGGAGAAGATCTGCTCTGGCACTTCCACCATGGACATCATCTTTGCCGTCACTGCCTAGGAGCTGCATAATCCCTGGCACAATCATAGTTGCATCCATTTTCATGCCCTGCCAGCACTCTGCCAGGTCGCGTCAAGCAGTACGTGAAGCTTGTCATTGTAGCCAATTAGCACCTGAGCATCTACGAAGCAAAAGCAACACCTGGTCACAGCCGACTTCGCTGCAGGCAGGGCATACTTACCTGGTAAAGTATTGACTTTATTCCTGTGAGCATCAGTGCTCTGCCTCCTTAAGCAAGGCTGAACTGTCGGACCTCTACCATGGTGAAGTATTGCAAGCTCATGACTGTTGAGCTGAATGCTACACGATCCCCCGAATTACTTGGGCCCTGAGGCCGCGACGAGTCTCAGGCACGCAGAGCCCAAGCTGAGCCTAGGCTGTGATGCTTACTACAGTATCCCGTGGCCATAGCAGCGCCCAATGAAAGACTGACCATCAGTCCTTTCGTGAAGGGCTGCTGGTGGATGTAAACATGCAACTAGTTAGAGCCTCATGATTTGATAGCACCGAGTCTCGAGTACTTGACGCCAGCAACCTCTGCGTCGTAAGCATACTCCTGCAGAGCCTCGCGGAGAACGGGTGAGGCATGCGAAACACAAAAGTTTACTCGAAATGAACGGCTGCAGCTGAATGACCCCATGCCAAAAGGAACCTTGCTCTGGGTAGAAAACTACCCAATTGAACGCTCTCAATCTCACTGTGTGCAGCGCCTCTTCGACACAGCGACACCACAGTTCAGACTTGGTGTAGCTCATTGGATCCTCGCAGGTTTGATTGAGGCAAAAGTCCTGCAAACAACGTCTGTTTGTCCTAACCTCCAAGGCAAAAGCGAATCAGCATGCACCAATATTCACCCACCCTGCCTGTGTGAAGAAAGGGGAGTAGATCGAGAAGCTGACACGTGCCTACGGACACTGTGAGACCGCAGTTTGCATACTTGCGACATCTAGACCAACTGTCCAGGAACCGCTTCTTAGCCCCAGATTGAGGCGCTCTGTGAAGGATCAAGGCAGCATTGGAGGCCCAGCCTTTGGCTGCTTGAACCTGTCGTCCTGCTTGTGGAAGACGCAGGTCATAGGCTCCGTACCCTTCAGAAGCACCGGCACCGCCTGCGCATACATGTCAATCAGTTAACAAAGAGTTGAGAATCGTGCAGAGGACGGCTAGTATTCCATGACTCTCAGCATGGTGGACACATGCAGCAACTCCAACCATGACACAGGTTCCTTCAACTTCCTGCGAATATCGTGACGCATCCCTCCCCTTCGAATGCATAACAACTGGCGCGAAAGATTATGCATTTTATGTGGAATATTGGTTGAAAACCTGATTTAGGAGGCCGACAAGGTTTCTGAGAGATCCCGAATTTCTTCGCACCTATTCTTGGATTCTTGAATATTATGTCTAATACAAAACCCATCACAAAACGAAACCCATCTTTTCAGATTCAAGAACTCCTTAACTCTTGTTGGATGTTCTTCAATCTCGCTTCTTAACATCCATGTATAAGCCCTTGAAAAGCAATGGAAATTTTGAAGAGAGATCCCAAATCCAAACTCATGTTTTTGTAACTTATCTTCGATAGCCCTTAGTAGAAGACCTCATGAATCTGCGAAAACTAGGAGATCTCTGATGCTTCAATCCCTAATGATTCCTTGTGAGGACACACCTACTCCCTTATAGAACCCCCTTATTCAGGATGTATTTCCCCTAGTTGCCCCTTTACAAGTAGTCTTGCATGTTGAACGTAGTTGAGGATCTCAAGCCTCCTGATTTCTCCAATGGCAAAGCAAGTGAACCGCAAGAAGCAACTCTTGATGGCACGACAAATTTGACAACTGTTTGCAACAAATCCAGGGGTTTTGCAGGATGGTGGATGGTTTCAGCGTTAGGCTGGGGGTGGCCAGACACCTTTGTTCACAAGTTTCCTGGATGGAAGGTGGAGGTCGGGGAAGGTGAGGCTGGGCAAATATTAAGCTAGTTGTCGAAAAGCTTGGCCACGGCCCAAGAATCAGTAGCTGGCAAAGACTTAAAGATCAACTCCTGAAAGCTCCAAGGAGCTATGCGTCAAAACACGGGGTGTCATGCCCAGAGCTCCTGCGGCTCCGCCGGTTGGGGCTTCAAAGACAGATCCTCGCACCGGGCACAGGTTATGAGGTCAGATGCATGCCGTGCGAGGAGAAGCTCAAACTTCCTAAAGCACACGTAGCTTGAAAAACAGATGGGTAGGCAACAAGCCTGTTGGCAGGATGCGGTTTGCAACTGGTCAGCAGCGAAGGATATACTTTTGCATTCTGAAGACCCGTCGGCTGCCGTCCTCCGGAATGAAAGGATTCGGCCTCAGCACACATCAACTTCAAGTCGCTTCAGCATCATAACATGCATCGGCGAACTACGCCGCAAAATGGCATGCAAGAAACATAACCGGCAGGATCCTTTTTTCAGGGTGCGAGTCCGACGCATCCGTCGGTCGCGAATCCATCGCCGACACAGCCGGAGCGGGGGCGCATTCCGCACCCGTCCGCTGGTCGTGTGGTTCGCGACAGCTAAATCATTAAAGGCTGCCCCCCCCGCAGCCCCCCCCTTTTCGCAGGGTTGGGCGGGAGGGAAGCGAAAAGCGACGGAGCCGGCAAGCTGCGGTCCGT